AAGTTGATGATGCAAAATAGTAATAGCTCTGTTTCTACACAGGTGAGGTTTTTGAGATCCTATGGAAAATTACATGTGGATTTGAGATTCTACCTGACGAGAGAGATGGCGAGCCACCCATGAACCTGATCTCTGCCTTGACCCAAGGAGTTGGATCAAGATCACCTATTATCCGCAGGAGCCCATCCATTCTTCTATCTCCATCACTTGAGCATCACACTCCAGTGTGGTAGTAGTATCACAACAAGCTTTTCCACTTGACTTGTGACTTAAAAAGTGCATTTGTCACAATAAAGGATTAAAACTAAACTGAACAGTTTATAACAGAAGGAACAAAACTGAACTTGAACTTGAATAAGACAACCAGTGGAACTCTGTTATTTTTTGTCAGGGACACTTTGATTCATCTTTGTATTATTTTCTGGTAATATTGTTTCCTTGTGAAGCATTGAACTAACTGTGTTTAAAGGGTTAACATCTGAGTGCCACGCTACAGACTAAGAACGGGTAAACAGTGCAAACTTCATAATCCAGCCTGGTTCCCCAGTGTTAGTCTGTACTTCCAGGGAAAGTAGGCTCTACTTACACACTAATTACATTACTGTACTTACAGAGTATGAATGAGTGAATAGCACCTATCATGTGGTTTCTGTGTAATTAAATAATAAAAACATTTTATAACTCTCTGAATGACTCATTATTGTGCATTTAAAAATATATGTATATTTTTTACATTACTGTATTGTTTGTGTTTCACCCTGGGATGACAATACAAGACTTCCACAGATGTGCATTTGAGAGAGGTAAGTTTGCTTTGTATACCAGCTGGCCTGTTATGAGCCAATTTCCATAATATGTACCCACTTCTTAACATATTCTTATTCCAAGTCATACAATTAAGTAGGCTATAAGACAAAACATAATAAATTCCTGGAATATGAGTGAAGCTTGCCTGCTGACACTTACAAAAAAATGACTGTCACAACTGCCATGAGCAAAGAGCAAAAGCATTTGTTTACATTGTACAGTAGACTATTTCATTCAATATACTTAAAATGATTCGGAAGTTACACCTTAAATTATGCGAATTACATGGTAAGTGGCCATGAGTTATACTGTAAGACTGGAGAAAGTAGGTGGGAAATGACCAGGAGTTACACTGGAAGTCTGGGCAAAGTAGGACGTAAGTGAATGGGAGGTACGCTCTAAGAAGCAGCCTAGTTATACTGTAAGACACGGGGAAACACGTGCAGGAGTTACACGGTATGTCTGTGGAAGTTGGGGTAACGTAGGTGGTAAGTGAACGGGAGGTACACACTAAAGACGCGGGCCGTATTATGTAGTGTTACCAAGAAGCTGTTAGCAGTTAGCAGCTAACAGAACTGTCCTGTCCATGATCCCATCCTGCTGTCTGTCCTGTCCATACAGACACTAGCCCCTTTTACACTACCAGATTTTCGGCGAATGTTGGGTCGTTTTGCCGGCAAGCTGCAAGCACACAGAGCCGGAATGGCGAGTTGACCCAAGGTGCCCAATTTTCCACCTCGTAGGGTAGACATATTGGTGGAATCCTTTTAGTTTAAACAGACCGAGGCGGCCTTCTGCAACAGGAGGAGCTGTTGATGACTTGTGGGAGGAGCTGTTGATGACTTGTAGGAGGAGCTGTTGATGACTTGTAGGAGGANTCAAGCAGCTGGGCAGAGCAAGCAGTAGATAGGCCAGAAATTCCACCGTCATAAGTTTTGGGCACTAACTGAGCATATGCTCATTGATGGACATATTTAGCAGAAATGAGCCATTGTTTGTTTATGTGATTGAAATTGCTCTTATGAGTTAGTTTGGTAGTCAGCACACTAAAGTGATGTAAAACAAGGCAAATTAGAAACATGATTCATGACAAATGCAAGAGACAAATTCATATTAATATCAACACAGCATTTATTTTTTAATGTAGATTTATGTCTGTTAAGGTTTTGTGGTTGCCTGCTGTATTTGGTGAAGAAAAGAAAAAGGAAGTATCAAAACATATATATATATATGATATTATTAGGTAACAATAGGTATTAATGTGTAGGCGTGAACGCCAAAATTGTGGTCAGCCCGCTGAATCTCACTCCAAGGTTTTTTGAAAAATTGGCAGCCCTGATGACCCACCTGTCAAACTTTAGCAGGAAGCTAATTCAGTGTCTCTAGTGTTGTGTAGCAGCTGATTGGCTCAGTGGCCCGTTGTACACACAGATGGCTCCATAGACCCGCAGACGTCCCTAATATAAA